CAATAATGGCACTTTGCGGACTCTTTAATAGGGAGAAGTTTTGAGAATTTCGAAATTTAAAGCACTGATAAGGATACTTGATGGTGTGGTAAGATCAACAGACACAAATTGTAATAAATTACGCAAGGAATATTAAATGTTTGGCCGCCATTATCTGACAAGATTTGATTGAAAATCAACGGAATTTTTCAATGTATTGCACGAAAAACTAATCCCACGTATAGAAACCGTAAAAAGCTAATAATAAAGTTAGAAGAAGGTCCTTGAAGCACTATGTAACCACAGTAATTAGTAATTATTGGTTCGCAAACAATGTTTTCAAAAATATAAAATATAATAAAATCCGACAAAAATGTATTCAGATGTTTTACTGCTGCCAGACCATCGGAATAAAAAAGTTGAAAAGTTTTATTATTTGAGAATTTTTTAACACCTTGAATATGCAAGGTAAATCTATTTAAACGGGTAAAATTAGATAATTTTGGTTTTTTGTTGTAGAACATCAGTTAAACCATGTTTATTGACTGATGAGGATCGAGAGATCTGAACTAAATAATATATTAATAAATATGAGAACTGATTTTCGCGTTATAGTTATTTATATATATATAATGCATATACATATTTGAACAAAAATCAATTTGCCAACAAAGAAAACCTTGAGAAAAAAGACCATCAATGTAATTTCAAAGACTTGATTTTCAAACTTAAAAAATCAAAGGAATTGAGTCATTGCAACAAACTCAAACTTTCAAGTCCCTCTATATTCTTGAAACCTGCTGACGTAGACTCTAGATATTTTAAACTATCATATCTGTTAGATCAAATAATCTAAGTTTGAAATGTCAAAGGTTAACACCATCAGGAAACAAAAATATATGGATTAACATTTTTAGTTTGTAGCACAGATTCAATTACTTTCTTCAGAAATATTTGTTTTTCAATGTAATATATTCCAAATGTTTAAGGGGGGGTCTTTACATACTTTCTACCCTGTCATTTTACATATTTTCTGCACTATCCCTTTACATACTTTCTACCCTGTCATTTTACATATTTTCTGCACTATCCCTTTACATACTTTCTGCCATGTCATTTTACATATTTTCTGCACTATCCCTTTACATATTTTCTGCCATGTCATTTTACATATTTTCTGCACTATCCCTTTATATACTTTCAGCTCTGTCATTTTACATATTTTCTGCACTATCCCTTTACATACTTTTAGCTCTGTCATTTTACATATTTTCTGCACTATCCCTTTACATACTTTCAGCTCTGTCATTTCACATATTTTCTGCACTATCCCTTTGCATACTTTTAGCTCTGTCATTTTACATATTTTCTGCACTGTCCCTTTACATACTTTTAGCTCTGTCATTTTACATATTTTCTGCACTGTCCCTTTACATACTTTTAGCTCTGTCTCTTTACATTCATACATTCCTGCTTTGTCCATTTTCACACTTCCTGCTTTGTTCCTTTATACATTTCCTACTCTATCGATCCCTTTACATATTTACTGCTTTGTCCCTTTCCTCACTTAATGCTTTGCTCCTTTACAAATTCCTGCTCTGGTCCTTCAACTATTTTCTGCTTTATCCTTTTACATACTTCCTTCCCAGTCTCATTACATATTTCAGGCTCTATTCCTTTACATTCTTCCAGCACTGTCTCTTTACACACTTCCTGCGCTGTTCCTTTGCGTATGTCCTGCTCTGCCCTTTATACACTCTCTGTATGTTCCTTAAAATATTTACTGCCTTGTCCCTTTCCACACTTACTGCTTTGCTCCTTTACAAATTCCTGCTCTGGTCCTTCAAATATTTTCTGCTTTATCCCTTTACATACTTCCTGCCCAGTCTCATTACATATTTCAGGCTCTATTCCTATACATTCTTCCAGCTCTGTCCCTTTTGCACACTTCCTGCACTGTTCCATTACACACTTCCTGCACTGTCCCTTTACACACTTCCAGCACTGTCCCTTTACACACTTCAAGCACTGTCCCTTTACACTCTTCCAGCTCTGTCCCTTTAAACACTTCCCGCACTGTCCCTTTACACTACTCCAGCACTGTCCCTTTACACACTTCCAGCACTGTCCCTTTACACACTTTCTGCGTTGTTCCTTTACATATGTCCTGTTCTGTCTCTTTACACACTTTCTGTGTTGTTCCTTTACATATGTCCTGCTCTGTCCCTTTATACACTTTCTGTCCTGTCCCTTTACATACTTCCTGTCCTCTCTATTTACCTACATTATTTTACTTTCGTACCTCTTTCTTACTTCCTGTAACATGATTCCTTACTCCTTTCATAATTCCTGTCATATCTTTTACCAGCTCTCATTCAGGTTTGGTTTTCTGTTATTATAATTTTTATCAAGATTAAATCCTACGTAATAGTTCTATGTATTGAGAAACTCATTAAAAATTATAGATTACTTTTTTAAATCAGATTATCCAGAATTTTCACATTTTTTACTTTCAGAAAAGAATTGTTTTTAACATGTAAAATCCAGCTGGATTCAAGTTTTAAACCCCGTTTTTAAATATTCAAAATTTTTCGATTTTTAGGTAGCTTCAGAAAAATTTGAGAAATTTCAACTTTTTCAAAATTGTTCGCTCGAAACCTTGCCTTAGTTACACTAAGCAAAAAGTTTACTCTGACCAAAAATATCATCAAAACTTGTTGGTTGATATCTCTGGTCAATGGTCAGGGAAAGATTTAGCTTGTGGTAAAAAAGGAAACTTTTTGTTGGAATTGACAAGTTTATTCTCTCATATTTATCTATCAAAAACAAGCATAAAAAAGATTAAAAAGTTGAACTTTTAAATTGTACATCTCATAAAAAAATAAAAAATAGTAAACACAAAAAAGATTCATGTATTATAACGGGATTTAAGACTAAATAATTGAGAATTAATCAAAATTAACTTGATCTTTATTGTTCATCAAAACAAGTTTAATGTGCTATAAAGTTTGAAACGGGAGGGGAGGGGGGGGGGGCAATGTCGCCGGGTAAACATATTTTATTTTATTCCGAAAACGTCTATATAGCTTTTACTTCATTAATGAACATTAGCTTAAATGTTGTAAAGTCAGATTGACAATTTATTTGTAAAATAAAATAAAGAATATTTTTTAAAAATTCTTCATGGAAAATATTAAAAAATGTATTTTATGACGCATTGTTTTTATTTGTACTATATTAGTATATTTTTCTTTTCTCTTGATTGTTTTTTTTTATTCCAAGCTGTATTTTTGCGCAACAAGAACAATACGAGGATCAAGATAAAAATAAACTATTATTGTCTTGTAGAATTCTAGTACGAAATATTTTGAATTTAAAAATGGGTTTCCCAGATTTTAAAGAAATTTAATAGTTCTAGATTCTACATAGTATAATAATACTAATTTCAAGTTATCCTCCATCTAAAAAAGATTAAAAACGCTACCTTATATCTGAGAAACAATAAAGAAGATATCGTCGTTTTTCCATCTGAAAAAATGTAAAATCTTTAAATTCTATTTAATAATTCTGGAATTCACTATTATAGGTTACCCAATATTGGAAATAATCAATTTTGAGAAAAAGATATAAATCATGTTCACATGTCATTGTAATTCTTTAAAATGGGGGTTAACATATACTGCCAGTACAATCCCTTTAAAGGGAGTGACCGGCAATGTATTGTATAGTTGAACTGAGAATGTAATTTTGTGAAGAAATTTTATAGGATTCATTTGAGACTTATAAAACGTTTTAATGGTGTATAATTACTGAGTTTGAGCGCAAAGTCGACTTTCAAAATAATCCATTTGTGTGGTTACGTATTGAGAATCGTTATTTTTTGAATTATTTAATAACGACGACAAAATATATATTAAATATTCTACAGTGAACTAATTAGACGTTTGGAACATATTTTTCAATAAATCAATGTTAGAATGATATTTTTCTTTTTCACCATTATATTTAATTTCTTATTCTTTAAGAATTTGTTTGCCTATTTCTACAAATTCCTCCAATGTCGTCTTTTCAATAAAAATTCCAGAAAATTTTTGTGAAGAATGAGAGATTACAGAAACTAATAACTGAATAAGATTACTTATTTTCGATGAAGAGAATTCATTTTTATTTTCTTAACCTGTGCCTAAAAAACTAGTTATTTTACTTCAGAATTTGTGTTACATTTTTTGTCGTCGTTATTTAAAAATTTGAAAAGAATCGATTCTCTGAACGTAACCATCCAAATGGATGATTTTGAAAGTCGATTTTGCGCACAAACTCAGTAATTATTCATCATTAAAACGTTTTATGTGTCTCAAATGAATCCTAAACAAATTCTACACAATATTACAATCTCAGTTCAACTACCATATATTGCCGGTCACTCCCTTAAAAAAATTAGTAAATATAGATGTTTTCCCCCTTTTTCATACCTTAAGGAATATATGTATAGTCAAGCTAATAGCGCGCAAATTAAACAAATACTTTAATGAGAAATAAGCTTGTTAATAAAAGCATTAGCAAACATTGGTACGCCTACTATCGGAACTTTATTTCAGGGAAAATATTAGTTCTCATCAAAACGTAAAATTGTTCAGTGTAAATTTTCATCAAAAAATATTGTAGTTCTTGCTTGATTTTCATTGTTTTATTTAAAAAGTATTTAAGTATATTTAAAACTGTCACATTATAGTAGAAAAAAAACTTATTTTTTTTACTTTGTAAACAACAAAATTTGAATTAAACACTATGTTAAGCTACCCCTCTCTTTGCGACCATTTTCTCTATGTATAGAACACTATAGTGTACAGCAGAAAATCCAAAAAAAAGACGATTTTCAAAATTAATAAAAAAAATGTTAATAAGACGCAAAATACTCCCATGCTTAAACCAAAGAATAAAAAAGTAACGTTTAATATAAATTTAATTGTAAATTCATTTTATTAGATTTTTTATTTATTTTCCGATTGGGTTTCAGAAAAATGATATGGAAATTGGTGAACAAGAATTAGAAACTAAGGTAGCAAAAAAGTTCATGTATATTATTAATAAGTAAAATTATTTTTATTTCTAGAAGGAAGCCTCTCATGAATCTGGAGAGCTTAGAGATTTGACGTCGACAATACGTTTCGATCCTATTCCACCTCTTATCCATCCTGATCCCAGTGAATCTGAACCTAATCCTTGTACCCTTCAGACTATTAAATCTGAAGCTTCAAATCGTGAACTCTGCCACCAAGAGCTAAGTAGAACCGAACCCTGCAACCAAGATCATAGTAGAACTGAACTCTACAACCAAGAAAATAATATAACTGAACCTTGCAACCAAGATATTAACATAACTGAACCATGCAACCAAGGTCAAAGTAAAACTGAACCCTGCAACCAAGATCATAGTAGAACTGAACTCTGCAACCAAGAACATAGTAAAACTGAGCCTTGCAACCAAGATATCAACAGAACAGAACCCTGCAACCAAGATCAAACTAGAACTAAACCCTGCAACCAAAATAAAACTAAGCCATGTAAGTAAATTTCCTTCAAATCAACGGGCATTAAATAGCCAATAAGGAACAGGTGAATATGCTTAATGCAGCCGAGAAAAGAAAATACAGGGTGTCCCACGAAACATGACAATAGCAAGACGACTTGAAAGTCGTCTTTGATATTTGAATTTATTTTTGACATTTAGTCTTCTATCTACTTTAACATGTATGATTCTTGAAACAATTATCACATAATTCTCCTAGCCCTGGCATTTCCAAAAAGTGGTCTGCGTTTTTTGTGCTTTCAATATTACCGGAGATATAAAGAGTTTGGTTCAGATTTCAATTTTGTTAAATAAAAGCAATCTGAACGAGATTCTTCATATCTCGGGCAATATTGAAAGCACAAAAAAGGCAGACCACATTTTGGAAATGGCAGGACTAGGGAAATTTTGTGATTATTATCTCTAGAAATTTACTTCTAAGATTAGGTTGACAAAAAAACGCAGCAAATTATATCAAAAATCAAGACGACATTCAAGTCGTCCTGCATACTGTCATGTTTCGTGGGACACCCTGTATATGAATGATTAAAAGGTAATTCATCTAGGTACGGTTAGTTCCTCTACTTTGAGTTTGATGGACCAGAATTTCTATTGTTGTTTGATAACTTTTACTGTTTTTATTTCAAGATATTGTTTACATAATTGTGAATTACGCACGGGTCCGAACTATAATTCTTTGTATTTCCGAAAATCTCATGTTTGGCTGGTTTTAGAAATTCGAAAAAAACTCCAAAGAAAGGTTGAATTTTTCGAAAATTATACATACTAAATACGTTAAAGAATAACATTATAAAATAAGATATAACTGTTACCTTTTTGAAATCTAGGTTACCTATAGGTTTATAGTTTCCATCCCAGGACCCTCCAGGTTTATAGTTTCCATCCCAGGACCCTCCAGGTTTATAGTGTCCATCCCAGGACCCTCCAGGTTTAAAGTTTCCATACCAGGACCCTCCAGGTTTAAAGTTTCCATACCAGGACCCTCCAGATTTAAAGTTTCCATACCAGGACCCTCCAGGTTTATAGTTTCCATACCAGGACCCTCCAGGTCCTCCAGGTTTAAAGTTTCCATCCCAGGACACTCCAGGATAGTTTCCATCCCAGGACCCTTCAGGTTTATAGTGTCCTTCCCAGGACACTCCAGGATAGTGTCTATCCCAGGACCCTCCAGGTTTATAGTTTCCATCCCAGGACCCTCCAGGTTTATAGTGTCCATCCCAGGACCCTCCAGGTTTATCTAATAATTGTCCATTATTCAAATTTTTATTCATGATTATGAAATAGCTTACATTTTGTAACTTAAAAAATGTTGTTCTTATTAAACAATTTATTTTATGATTGCTTGGGGACCAAGCTTTCTCGAAAAAAATGAACCCACACAATGAAGAATTTTAATCCACGCTAAGAACATTCCCGTGGTTCTACCAATCAAAAATCAAAATATGAGGCAAATTGGTCGAGGGGTTCCTAAGTTATGATCGGACATCGGAAAAAAATCAAGGTTACTACCTAATATTTATATATAGCCTTTTGTCACATTTAGTTAAAAAGGGTAAAATATATGAAAAAATTTTCTTTGTAAGTTTTTATGATATAAAATTCAAGATTTTGCATTTCAAAATTTTTGTCACAAAATGATTATATGCTATTTTTCTGTACACTGCTTACAATCTGTTCTGTATACATTACACACTATCTGTTCTGTATACATTACACACTATCTGTTCTGATCATTTCGCTCTATCTGTTCTGTATATATTACACACTATCTGTTCTGATAATTTCGCTCTATCTGTTTTGTATACATTACACACTAGCTGTTTTGATCATTTTGCTCTATCTGTTCTGTACATTACACACTATAATCTGTCCTGTACATTTCACACTATATGTCTTGTAAATTTAACAATATCTGCAGTTGTGTACATTATAAACTGTCATGTACATTTAACAATATCTGTCATGAACACATGTACACTTTCTCCCCTAGATATGAATGCTCACTAGACTTTTCATAGAAGGGGCTGGTTCATTTGGTGTACAGCGTTCCATTTTGCCTGGTATAATCTGTATGTGTACTGTACTGCTCGCTCTATCTGGTTCTATGTCGGCCCGGTACTTGAAATTAACCGGAGTTAACAGTGTACACTCGAACACTGTACGCTATTTTGATAATCTTTCAACTCTTAAATTCTAAAAACGTTTAGTCAAAATGGGATGCTGCGGATGTAATTCATGGAACTGCGGGCACGCTAGCTGCTGTTCAACAAGCTGCTACCATTCTCATCATCATGGACATGCGCATGCGCACAGTCATTGCCATAACAGCTGTTGTGGCAGCAGCTGTGGATCTTGTAGCGGCAGCAGTTGCTGTGGAAGATCGTGTAAGCAGTCCCAGCACGATTATTATCATAGTATGGAGAGTTATCACAGGTCGTCTTTTGTATTTTTTTATCATTAAGTATTTCTCAATAATTATAGTATATGTAAAACTTGATTTAAAGATTGACCCACAAAACATGACAGATGAGAGATGAAGTTTGAAGATCGTCTAAGATCTTTGAAATACTTTCAATGATAACAATTGTTTAGGTCTATGTCGGATTCCTACAGAAACAGAGCCGCCCACGTTAAATCCCACATGTGCTAGAACAAAATCCAAGGAATAAGATTGTTTAAATCAAATATTTGGATATAACAGGCAAAGATTTTATTGGAAATTGTAGGGTTTCCCACGCTAGTGGATTATACTTTCCCACAATTGCGAGCCCATTAATTTCGCGCAATACTGAGCAATTCCAAGCATTGCCCCGGAATTCCGCAAGACAGAATTCAAATTGGGATCCCTACAATTTTGTAAAATGACTGTAATATTCGAAACGTTGAACTTCTGGATTAATTCAAGATGACTTATAAGTCCTTTGTTGGGATTAGATTAATGAGAGATCGGCGAATCCTTAGATTCGATTTGTATTCAGGAAAATAATTATTTTCTGACATCTTTACAAATATTATGAAATTAAACCATCAATTCAAAAGTTTTCGCTTTTCTAAGGAATTAAGCTTTACTTTATTCTATGCATTTTTTTAGTAAAACCAATAATCAAAACAACAATATAACTTATGATAACCATATGATTTTTTTGAACACTTAAAAACCAGTCCATTCAACAAATTTATTTATGAAATTTTTAAAAATTTAAACTTCATTGGTTGAGTTACTAAGGATTTTTATTTATATGAAGAGTATGAGAATATTTGATAATATTAGTATATGTCACGTGGATTTAAAGGTTCTGTTAAACTATCAAAAAGCTTTGGCTTTCGATTACAAGTTGAACCCTTATACACAATATTTTAGCCTTTTTTCTTAAATACTTTTTTGTCGGCATATGTATTTTGAATAAAAAAGTATTAAATAAACAAATCCGTAAGTTTAAGGATTGTTGAATTATAGACTAAAAGACGTTTTATTTCAAATAAAGGAAACCGACTGCTTCTCACTCTGGTTAGTCCGGGGTGATGTGTGACTTAAAATTTTAAACCCTTTTTTTGTATGGTAAAATATTGGAGTAAATTTAAGTTTATTCGCATTCATTATACCAATTCAGTAAAAGATATAAAATGACCCTCTAAACAAGATCATAGCTAAAATAAAGTTTGATCTTTTAAAGAAACAAAATCAGCTTTAATATATTTTGCTCTAAATTGTTCCAATGTTTACTTGTAAACCATAATTACAAACTTAAAAATTCTTAATCCTAGCTTTGATTTTTTCAAAATTTTAATTTAACGCCATTAAAAGTAAGATGTTTAGGAATATAAAAAAATTTAAAATTAGTTCTGGCTCTAGTGTCCCATTGAATTAAATCAACTATATTGAAACCCTAATCTACGGCCTATATTTCTCAGTAATCAAAATATAGAATTGAAGGATGAGCTGATTTTTTTATTTAAGAAACTTATCGTCATTTTCTGTTGCAGCCAAATTCCCCCCTCTCTCACTTTCAAAAAATAGGAAAACTATGATTGTTTTTTGTTCAAAATTGATTTGAATAATTAAGTATTTTGATTGCATTTACAATGTTTGAGCACAAGCTTTTATTTAACTATTACTAGTTTAACTATTTATTATTGACAAATCTCTATCTCAAAAAAAGAACCAAGCTTTAAAGATTTATGGATCAAGGACTAGATATATATGGAGAGAGGATCGACCCGGTCCGGCTTTTAGCTCACTGAAGACACAGCAGCTCTGTTACATACAGGGTGTCTCAATGAACATGGAAATTTAGTGTCGACTTATATCTAAGCTGTATTATTATGTAGTCACTATTTTAGTAGTATTCTAGTTAAAATAGGTAATAGCTGTTAGTATGACTAGTCTTGAGAATTCCTAAATGTGGTTTAACATTTTGCACTTTTAAAATTTACGGAGATACAGGGTGTCCCAAAAAACATGGGAATTCAGTGACGAATTCGATATCGTCTTTGTTACGAGTTATCATTGTAATACCTAATTTCAAAAGCCATAATATTATTATGTCTGCTAGAGTTTATTTTATGAAAAGGGTAAAAGACTGTAAAGATGTGTCTATAATGATAATGTTAATGATAATGATAATGATAATGATAATGATAATGATAATGATAATGATAATAATAATGATGAACAGTGAATACGGAGAATGGACAAGATTACTCTGTTACTTTTTTTATATTTAAATTTTCTTGTTTTACTTAGTACAACCGTATGCAGTCAAAACATAAACAAACAAAATGTAAACATAGCAGTAGGTTTCACTACACTAAATCAAAGAATTATTTAAAAAGACGATATCGAATTCGTCACTGAATTCTCATGTTTATTGGGACACCCTGTATTAAACTGTTTTACATGTACGTTAATTTTGAAGTTACAAGGAAGCAGATCAAATTTTTGAAAGTCGTCTATTGATTCCTATGATAATTGGGACACCCTGTAGCAAATCATGTTTTTGAGTCACGTGATTAAACTGGTTCGGGGCTTGCTTTCTATCTCCATGTCTATCTACTGAATATCAACTCCGTGAACATTAAGCCATTATATGTTTTTAAATGTGTAAAAATCTAGAGAACACTTAGCATTAATTGAATTGTTAGAATTTAGAATTGTTTTGTGATTGTGTTTGTGACTTGTTAAATGTTAAATAAAAAGTTGAAACTTTTTTCTTCTAATAAGTAGCATACTCATATCCTCAAAACATTGTGGAATTTAATTACAAATCTTTAACTCTATTAAACCTTGAAATATGTATTTAAATCATGCTACTTTAAAGAGACTGTAGACTTATTTTCAAGTGACTGTAGACTTATTTTCAAGTGACTGTAGACTTATTTTCAAGTGACTGTAGACTTATTTTCAAGTGACTCTCCATTTTAAAAAAAGTGGCATGTCTGATTCACAATGCAAGCCTTGAAAGCTTTGTTAGATCATCAATAAAAAAAGAATTCACATGTTTGGAACTCAAAAAATGATGATTAGCAATGTGCTCTTTCTATAAAAGGAAGTTGCGGATTTATGGTGCAGAAAATGGAAGAATGTGTCAGATTAAAGCACTTTTTAAGCTAAAAAACCAGGATATCTTTCAAAATATTGATCATAAAAATTTAAAGGTTTAGTTGTAAATCAGGCATCCGCATGCGGGGCCTCATGCCGAAAAAATGCAGAAGCCAGAGAAAATATTTAAATTTAAATAAATAAAGTTTATTTTCGACGACAAGATAAACCCTGAGGACTGACAGTATTTAGCTATATCCTAGGGCAGAAGGGGAACAATTAGAACTAACAGATTTTTGCAGATGAGAATAACGTCGGGGGCAAGTTTCAGGAAAGTTTTTAACAGGTTGTGTTTAAAAAATGTATCTCTTGTGGAAGAAGATGCCCGGCCGCGTTAAACAAGTTCCACAAGATTCAACAGAATGAGATAGAACGGATACGGGGCATAGTACTGATAAAACATCTACACGTGTGATATCGATATTGACTCTAGTTCTGAACCCTCTAGTAATAAGTTATAAGAAATATATATACTGGAAGTTATTTATGCGTTTTTATTAGAGTCTGACTCACGTCCTCTATACTCTTCAAAAGCACTTTCGAAAATTGAGAAACATAATTTATTTTTATCGTTTATTCTTTAAAAAAATCCCTCCATGTCGGGCTTAAATCAAAATTATATGATTAACCTTGATCTTGATATCCGATTTGGGCAGTTTTAAAAGTATCAGTATTCCTCATTTAAACATTCCTGCTGGGTATGACAACACGGATATCGAAGAGGAATTAAATTAATCCGTAAATATGCATAAAATGGTCATCAGTGCTAAATCTCGAGTTTAACAAAAGAAACTCCTGAGCTGAAAACTCTTGTATTGGATAAACTTTATCCCGATTGCTAAATCTCTCTATCCACTGTGGACACTTCTGAGTTTCTGCAAAATCCTCTCTTTTAGGCATCCCTGCTGGATTCAGACCATTGAAAGTTCTCTTATTGGCTTTTCGGTTTCTACAATCGACACTGATTGGTTGCATTTTAGATACTTTCGTGGATATTAATGTAAGATCAAATTGATCTTAAGATTAAGAAAAAGAGGAGTTTAAGCATTGATCTCAACGTCCATAATTCTAAATTTCTCGGCTTCTGATTGGCTGTTCGGTTTCTACAATCGACACTCTGATTGGTTGCATTTTAGATACTTTCCTGCATAATTATGCAAGATTAATAAAAAGAGGAGATATAGAATTGATCTCGATATCCACAATTCCAAAGTTTTCCACATTTTACTGTGACGTTATAGACCAGTTAAAAACAAGTTTTACCAAAACATTAACAAAGGTTCTAAACAAGTTTCCTGGTCAGGGTAGTCAGGGTAGTCAGGTTAATCAGGGTAGTCAGGGTAGTCAGGGTAGTCAGGGTAGTCAGGGTAGTCAGGGTATCAGGTTAATCAGGGTATTCAGGGTAGTCAGGGTAGTCATGGCAGTCATGTTTGTTAGGGTAGTCAGGGTAGTCAGGGTAGTCAGGGTTGTCAGGGTAGTCATGGTAGTCAGGGTAGTCAGGGTAGTCAGGGTAGTCAGGGTAGTCAGGGTAGTCAGGGTAGTCAGGGTAGTCAGGGTAGTCAGGGTAGCATAATCTTTGTTTCTTTACAATTACACCAATTCATGCGCGCAGTCACAATAAGTCACAATAAATTTAAGAAATATTTAAGTAATTTTATTTTTAAAAAAGCTTTCATAATTTAATCAATTAATAATTTATCTTGTTAAATTATGTTTTTCAAGGTTTATAATAATTTATTCATTCGGAAAAAATTATAGAATATACTGAAATTTTGAAGTAATAAATAGTAAGAATTTGTTTAGCCAGACACCATATTGAATGAAAAGCTCAAAGTATTTGAACCAAGTGGATTTAGTTTAGTTACTTTGCCTGAGTGGTAGGTTTAATTAGATAAAAATGACCCTCCATGCAAAGATGGCAATGCCCGAGATACATCGGTACCCTTGAAAGCATTGTCTGGGTCAAGTATGATTTAGACATCAATGGTTTTGTTTCTTAAAACTGTTCCTTTTAATTTTCGGTTACGAAAATAACTTGCACATGTTTTGCTTATCACAAGCAATGGAGAAACTCTCAGAAATAACATCTTTCGAGTCAGAAAAACGGCAATATCTCCCACATTATTGATCAGATTAGGTTTCAAGATTATCGTTGTAAATCAGACGTTTTTATCTTTGCATGGATGGTCTGCGAAATAACTTGTTTTGGATAAATAAAATTTTATTTTTAAAATCTGGTCCAAGGTTTTCTTATAGTTTAAATACTTCTCTAGTGCATTATCGATCACATAGAAGTAGTTCGTAATATTTAATTATTTCACACAGGCATAACTGTTTTGACAAAAAATGCCAGAAATATCTTTGTTTTCTATCATAAAATCAATAATTTATCGTTAGAGTTGCTCTATTTAAGTGGCGCGCTTGCAGACTTATGTAACATAAAACATCAGTTGCTTTTAAAGATATACAACAGACGAGTTCTTCCTAGGATACAAGTTTTATGGAAACTATTGTGAATCGGACATGCCTTTCTGCAAATGAAGGATCTCTAGTTTAGTTTCTACACTTAATTCTTTACAAACGCACTTGAGCGTTGTTAGGAACAGTGGTTTAGCTGGGTCAGGATATAGTGAACACGCACAGTGGTTTAGCTGGGTCAGGATATAGTGAACACGCACAGTGGTTTATCTGGGTCAGGATATTGTGAACACCCACAGTGGTTTAACTGGGTCAGGATATAGTGAACGCGCACAGTGGTTTAGTTGGGTCAGGATATAGTGAACACGCATAGTGGTTTAGCTGGGTCAGGATATAGTGAACACGCACAGTGGTTTAGCTGGGTCAGGATATAGTGAACACGCGCAGTGGTTTAGCTGGGTCAGGATAAAGTGAACACGCACAGTGGTTTAGCTGGGTCAGGATATAGTGAACACGCACAGCTGAGTCGGGATCTAGTATACGCGCACAGTGGTTTAGCTTGGTCAGGGTCTAGTATGCGTGCACAGTGATTTAGCTGGGTCAGGATCTANATAAAAATAATGATAATATTAATAATAATAACAATATTAATAGTAGTAATAATAATGCTGACTTGTTTCTTGCAATGAAAACACAGGAATGCGTATCCCTGGGATTGGGTTCGGAAGTATTTTGCCAAAGTTTCAAATCTTTTGGTACATCAATACTCTCACGCTCCCAGGTAAATCGTCCCAGCTTACTAAACAGGAGTAATACGTTGTTAGTTTAGCGGAGTATAACCCGTTCTAAATTTTATACAAGAATAATGACTTGTAAGTAAAAAAGAACCCAGAGTTTCTGTCTAAAGAGAAACAGGATTAGTTGAGTTGTATGTAAATTAGACAGAGTAAACCGGTTGGTTTACTAGAAACTTAGGATTAGTTGAGTTGTATGTAAATTAGTACACAGAGTAAACAGGTTGGTTTACAAGAAACAGGATTAGTTGAGTTGTATGTTAATAAGTACACAGAGTAAACCGGTTGGTTAACTAGAAACAGGATTAAATTAGTTGTGTGCTAACGAATTGAACCGCAACCACTGATTTTCCTATATCCATATATCTTAGCAACCCAATGTCGTAGATCTTGTAAATTTTAAACTATAAATTCTGTCAGATAAAAAATCTAAGTTTGAAATATAAAAGTAAAAGTAAAAATATAGAGATAGGCAAATTTGAGTTTTGTGGAAAATACTTAATTTTTTAATACCCGGAGTAATATCTGTTCTGGTTTGCAAGAAGCAGAAGTAATGAGTTGTTAGTAAACAATTACTGTGAGTAATCGGTTCTGGCTTGCAAGTCGGCTTTTCATGAGCAAAAACTTTTTTTTTCAATTTTAGGAAAGCTTGACCAAACTTGGTTAAAATTGTCTACGTTGATAATAAGAAATACGTTTACATGTTAATTATCAAAACTAGCCTTTGAGAAAATGCACAACTATTGCTATTTATATGAAGTTGTAGTGCATTCTTCCAATATCCATAGCACTGGAAAATAATTTTTCATCCGACCAATGTGAATTATTACTATATTATTTAACTATTATTTAACTATTTAACTATTTGAGTTTTGAGCTATTATTACACATTTTGTGAATGGAAACCCTCTTTCAAGAAACAAGATTTTGAGATGCTAGATTCATAAAAGTAGTATATACCTCATATCTGATCCGGCAGTCCACCAATCTGTATCCCGGATTTCTGGATCCTCCTTGATCCGGTTAAACAACTGCTCTGCAGTTTCCGGATTTAGTTTGTCTACGAGATATCCCCCGGTCAACTCACATTCCTGAAATACAACAATAGTTTATAGACGCAATTTGAATTTTATTTTATAAACGCCATCTTACTTGAATAATGCCATTTTATCTTTTAGATACCATCTAACTTGAATGGCGCCATTTTATTTTATAGACTCAATCTTATTCTACCTCAGAATATCCTACAGTCACAATCTTATTTCTATAGGCGACATTCTAATTTTAAGATGCCATCTTATTATAAAGACGCCGACAATGGAATAGCATTTATTTAACACAAACCATCTTATTTTATAACAGAGAAAATTAAGAATTTCCATTAAAATTATTTGATTGAATTAAAGTATTGAATTTAATCATAATGTAATTTCTTTTGATTAAGAGGTTTATGTTACAAAGATAATATTGTTTTTTTTTCTGCAATAAATGAAATAATAGGTTTAAAATTAATCCATTATTTTTAAAATTATTTTTGATCCTCGCCACAATTATTCATTAACCAACTGTGTTAGTTTTTCAGTCTAAACACATTTCAAATGTTTCTTAAATTTGTCTTTCAATTTTTGGTTTCTTAAAGGGCCTATACACGTAATTTCAAGTGAACCTCGATTTGTAAAGTGCAGACTCGACTGTACCCTTTAAACTTTTGTCGAAGTAAAAATTAAAATTTTAAATTCATTATTTTAGAATGCGATTCTCTTTAAATGTGACTTACGCAGAATTATGCAGAATTATGCAGCTGAGGAAAACGAAGAAAATTGTTTGAATTTTCAATTTTTCCAGTTGAAAAACGACAATATCTTCCTCATTAACGCTTAGAATAAAGTTGAAAGGGCACTTTCGTGAAACATTTTAGGGATCAATTATTATCATTTTTATACCAATTAAAATTAAGTCTACATTACGTCTACATGACATCTACATGACATCTACATGACGTCTTCATGACGTCTACATGACGTCTACATGACGTCTACAGCCCTTTCAAAAACTGACAGAGATTTCAAAAAGTTAGATACATATCATAGAGACAAAGATAGACACTCAGCCAACTCATATCACGAAACCTCGATTTCAAGAGGAAGTGGGGTTCATACAGTACACATACTGCAGGGTTTGTTTTCAATTACTAAATACTAAATGATCTGAGCAAGTCAGTTTTCCAGAGAAACCACAAAAGAAAATAAACTTCATGAATTTCTAATTAACACTTGACTAGACAAAGCTTTATTGGGTTCAGTTGTTAATTGGGCATTGCATGCACCCAACCTTAAACTTGCATTATCCGAGCCGGTACTGTTTATGCATGAAGTCGTTCTCTCCAGACTGAACTACCCAGTGTACAGTCGACCCAGCACATTTTATGCAACATATATAGTCTAGCAAGATCACATTGCACTTGCATCCTTGTAGGAAGTGTAATTTACTTGTTTTTAAATATTCTTGCGCATTTATGAGCTGATGCCACGGAGAAATGTTCCAAATAATTATTGCTTAAACCCTGATTTTAACGAAACAGTTACCTCCATAGCTCTGAACCTTGAACACCCCTCTTGACAAATTCCTGTTGAAGAAATAAGGAAATTTAAGCATAAATCTCCAATATTAATCGCTTCTTTAGGACAACCAACCTTCTCTGAAAAGAAAAAATTTAAAAAATTAAATTCAATTGAATGCAACGCTGAAAGACCGAAGTATTAGAAACAAACTTAGGACCCCTATTCCAAATGAGAACATATTTTTTTGAAGAGGCGGATTTGGTTTAAATTTTCCTATAAAAAAATAGTATTTTTTGTATTTAGTTTTTAGTATTTGGAGAACAACATTTTTAAGAAGACTTTTTATGTTTTTTTTAAGCCACCTTAAAGTCGATAAAATAAAGGATTTAAGGCTACAGAAATATGAGGGATTTAAGGCTGCAGAAATATAAAGGATTTAAGGCTGCAGAAATATAAAGGATTAAGGCTGCAGAAATATAAAGGATTTAAGGCTGCAGAAATATAAAGGATTTAAAGCTGCAGAAATATAATGGATTTAAAGCTTAGGAAATATAAAGGATTTAAAGCTGCAGAAATATAAAGGATTTAAGGCTACAGAAACATAAAGGATTTAAAGCTGCAGAAATATACAGGATTTAAGGCTCCAGTTTTTAAAAAAAAGTGTAATTTTTAAAGAAAAAAACTGACCTTTTGTTTTACAAGTATGTGCTCCAGATTTCACGCCAACTTTCTGATTCTTTGATTCTACTTTGTGAAGAAGAATACATTCCTTGTTACTACAAAAACAAACAATTGAAAATTTCTCTACAGTGAGAACCAGAAAACGATGGAATAGAGAGACTATTTTTAAACTCAATCTGTGATTTTAAATAGTACAAAGAACATTAAATACAGCAACTGTGCTGTGTATACAGGTCAATTTCACTTAAAGGGCGTGTTTGCGAAAAACAAATAGGGGTCAGGCTGAATCCTATACAAGGAGTCACAACTAGTTTTGCACATAACAAATGAAATCTAAGAATAAAGCCAAGCAATCTAGATCCAGTCCAAAAGGGTATTGAACTCTGGGTAGGTTTTTAGCCTTAAATACATAACAGTGTAGGGGGACCAGACGAGGTGCAAGGATCGATGCTGGAGAAAGGGGTAACAGTTTAGAGGGACAAGGGTATTGAACCCGCTTTCTCATCTAGAGAACGGCATTTATCTTGCCTGCAGAGAAAGCAAATTGTCGGGGATCTTAGCCCTGAGTTCCATAGGGGACAGTTAGCACGAAGTATCTGATCAGAAGAGTCAAATGGAAATATATTCGCCCCTGGCGAATGTCATGTATATTTATATCAATTTTAGTTGGTCAAACAATAAACGTTTGTATCGTTATAATGTAAATATATTGTGTGTGCAACCATGCTTTGTTATTCCAATTAATCCTGGCTTTTTAATACTGAATTCTTTTCAAGTCTTTATTACGATGTGGTTAATATTTCAGACGCAGTTCAACCACTGAATCTTGTGCGCCAGGTCAAGTTGAAGAAAAGTGGTTGAACCACGTCTACACTATTCAATGTTTAGATCTTCAATATCTCATGTATTCCTTACTTGATTGGCTAATTTAATCATCAAATTAGATGTATGTTATATGTACTGTGTGTAACTAATAGGTCTTTGAGGGGGCAGGTTTCCAGGGTGAATTTACAATAATTATGTAACACTAGCTCGTAGTGTGTAAATTGTAAATTTAGCTACATAGGTAGGGAGGAAAAGACATTTATTAAATTACTGTAATTCTGTTCATATGTTCAGAAGTAAATTTGAATTGATTCTTTGCCACAAACTATGATTTTTTAATCCCTTTAACTTTGAAAATCCGATGTATATGTATATGCATTTACTCTTACCGACCAGTCTAAACTACCCAGTGACAATTCGACCCAGCATGTTTTATGTAACAAATGTAGACTGGAAAGATCTTTGTGAATGAGATATTTTTAAATATGAATTCTGTGTGATAAAATTATCTAATTTTGAAAAATCAACTTTTTACACTTTCAGGTTGCAAAAAATTGGAGATTAGAAAATTTGAGTTTGTAGCAAAGACTTAGTTTATTTTCCCCATGAATGGGCAGAAAAAACATGTTACTTGTTACTAAATTTAACTAGAGTTGCGTTTGAAAAAAAATATTTTCAATTGTTTCATTTGTTCCTAGAAGTGTAGGCGAATGCTTTACAAATTGGATGCTGTAGACAAGAAACCTTACAGAGAGGAAAACTGTCAAGTTGAATACTTCCGCCCTCCGCCACCTGCTCCCCGGTATACTCAATATCATATTCGAGGCAGTTCACCAACCTGTTGTATACAGGGATAGCAAGGGCAGACACCTTCAAACCACAAGTATAAAAATGCGGGATTTAATTTAAAAATAAAAACGACTCTTTAATAATTATTAAAGATGCTACAGTACAGTACAAGGGGGTTCTAGATTATACAGTACAGTACAAGGGGGTTTTAGATTCTACAGTACAGTACAAGGGGGTTCTAGATTCTACAGTACAGTACAAGGGGATTCTAGATTCTACAGTACAGTACAAGGTGCTTCTAGATTCTACAGTACAGTACAAGGTGCTTCTAGATTCTACAGTACAGTACAAGGGGATTCTAGATTCTACAGTACAGTACAAGGTGCTTCTAGATTCTACAGTACAGTACGAGGGGCTTCTAGATTCTACAGTACAGTACAAGGGGGTTCTAGATTCTACAGTACAGTACAAGGGGATTCTAGATTCTACAGTACAGTACAAGGCGCTTCTAGAATCTACAGTACGGTACAAGGTGCTTCTAGATTCTACAGTATAGTACAAGGGGCTTCTAGATTCTACAGTACAGTACAAGGGGAATCTAAATTCTGCAGTACAGTACAAGGTGCTTCTAGATTATACAGTCTAGTACATTGCAAGGGGATTCTAGATCCTACAGTATAGACAAAGTGTTTCTGACGTAATTTCCTATTGATTTAAATTGTTACATGGCTGATTTACAACGGTACCGCGCTTAAGCTCATATCAGACCAAGAGTACTTTTGATAATGTAATTTCTTTCTTTAAAATATATAAATTACTTCATTTTCTTCCTTGTCTTTGCAGCAAACATCAACGAGTAACTGTTATAGTGTCCAAAAAATCGCATTGGAAATTAATTCATTTTCAATCAGAAAATCAAAGGGTACTATTGTGAATCGGACATGTCACTGTTTTAATGTAGCGAAGCTCGCTTAAAATTGCGTCAACAGTCCCCTTATATTTATTTCCAACAACTTCCTTCCCTGAAAAGTTTCGATTTTTTCAGTTTGTGCAAATTAGAACTAGAAACTTTAATTTTTGCGTTTAGAAAAATTTCTGGATCATCTTTGAAATCCGGCTCACCCGAATTTTATCTGTTCCCCCGGCTCTCCAGGTGGATGCTTCATACGGACATCTGAATAAAAAAGTTTAGAAAATACATAATCTTAACAACAGGATAGTTTTTTAGTAATTTTAATTAGATGTTTTCCTTCATTCTAATCCATGAATATTAAATGCATAAGGTATAGTTACTTCTTTATACTTTTTCTTGATTAAAATCCAGCTAACAGTTTCAGTTACTCCTCCCCCTTCCCCTTCTATAACCATAATTTTCTGTTTCCATGCCTCCAATAAAAAAGATAAAACCTCAGCTACTCCTGGAGCTAATAAGCTGAACAGCAGCTACTTCTGGAGCTAATAAACTAAACCTCAGCTACTCCTGAAGCTAACAAGCTAAACTTCAGCTTCTCCAGAAACTAATCAGCTACACAGCAACTCCAGGAGCTAATTTATAGCTACACAGTTACTCCAGAAGCTAATAAGCTACGCAGCTAGTTCTGGAGCCAACAAACAACTCAACTACCAACTTTAACCTACAGGAAGATATTCTGGACACCAAATCTCTAAAGGGGGAAGATCAAAAATTCATAAACAGCTAGTTATGAATAATGATCTATCAGCACCTGAACTCCTTCTACTCATTTTCCGTAAACAAGGAGATAATTATCAGTCTCGACTACCTCTATGCTCGAGACTGGAGGGGGACTTCTCTTCTGTAATGTATGAAATCCCCGAAAGAGGATAATGAAATCCGCAATTCAGTAGTGTCGGATCGTGGAATCAGAGAAGACCTACTCATCTTCCTCATGCCTTTAATACACTATTTATCATGTATTTATATCTAGAAGCAATAAATGCACTTTTAAAATACTCTCCTTTATTTTTTTGCAAACACTCCCTTTAATATTCCAGCATTTAAACAATGAGTTATCCACCAATGTCTGAACCCGGCATGCCAGGATAGACAAATCTCCGTTGGGCCTGAAACAGTATGCATTTATCAAGATTTTACAGTTTGCTGGGATAAACGTACTTAAAACGTAATTCTTTCAGTTAGTTTCTGAATCTAGCATGCTTGGATAAAAGATTTCAGTTGGACCTAAAACAGCATGCATCTAACTTTCCCAGCATAGCATTAGGGCAGGGCGTCGTTCTTGAAGAAAAATTGTTCTATCACAAGAATGAACGGAACTATCAAGAACGATCTCATCATTCTGAAAAAAGAACGGAACGCAAAGAATGCGTTCTTAAAAATATTGAATGGAACGGAGAAGAACGGAACTGATATTAACTTAAATGAACGTTTAAAATCAGGAACGCGTTCTTATTCTCAAGAACGCGTTTTAAGTCGTGAATATTTTTAATCAGGAATGTGTTCTAAATCATCTAGTCATTATACATGTTGGATACAGTTACTATGGTTTATTACAGATATCTAAACATATTCATCATACATATGCATTTTACATGTTGGATACAGTTACTATGGTTTATTACAGATATCTAAACATATGCATTATACATGTTGGATACAGTTACTATGGTTTATTACAGATATCTAAACATATTCATTATACATCTGGATACATTTACTATTACATTCATATGGATAGATTTGATTTTTATTAATTATTGTTAATTTTTATTAGTTGATTATTATTATTTTATTTTTGTTATGTAAAAATAAACAATAATAATTAAATTTATCCACATGAACATATGTTTTTATTGTTTTATTGTTGGTTTACTTACTACTGAGTACTATATTAAAATACACAGTTTAGATTTTCAGCATGTTTATAAAATTGAAAAAAATGATTTTACATTATGATAGTTTTTTAGTTCCAGATTATAAAGAGGACCACCATATTTACCTCAGGTAGGCAGGATGTGTCAGTGTTGGGTTTATATCTGAAATCAGGTGGAGCTGAACCTATTCTTGATCCGAACCTTCGCTCCAGGACTCCTTTAGCTCCTTCAACCTCTATACAATATATCACAGTTTTATATCTCGAGACAGGAACATTAGATAGAATTAATATTGGTCACGATCAACTTCTAAATTTTTTAGGCTTCACCCTATACCCCCTTTTCATTTTACCTTAGCAGTCCCTTTAATATATATAGATAGGGAAACAAGAGTCTGAACATTTAAAAAGAAAGGCCCTTTCAGAAAGAAACCTTAATTGAAAATACTAAATATTCAAATTTAAAGCATAGATTTATTCCTGATCATTCAAAGCTTCAAAAGGTGCCGTTGTCGATCGGACATACAATTTTGAATGTGGAGGATACACTTGGTTTTACAACTACAATCTTAATCAGAAAGTTCTTCTTAACTCACCACATTCTTTTATATCACAGTAGTCGAATTTGTTCTCCTCCGGAGAAGTATAACACCAAACCCGTCCTGAGTAATCCGGGTCCCTGCAGTAACTACCCGTCAGTCCTGCACCCTCATATCTAAACAGCACACGGAGAATTAAATCTGTCCTGAGTAATTAGGTTCCTAAAGAAACCGCTCGTCAGTCGATGTACCCGCAAATCTCAACAGCACACGGAGAATTAAATCCGTCCTAACCAGTAATCGGGGTTCTAAAGTAACTTCTCGTTGGGCCTATTCCCTCATATTTAAACAACGTATAGAAAAATTTTAAATCCGTCCCTCTCCTTCATATCTAAACAGCACCCGGAGAAGTTTAAGATCAAACCTGTCCTGAAATCTTGTGCGTACATGTAAGTCATGTACGTACAGTTATTGGTGATTACTAGAAGTGACACGAGTAAAAAAAAATAATTTTTATCTAAGAGTTGTACAGAATCTTATTCGTTAACCCTCAGATGAAAAGACTTTAAAAACAATTTTAAGTTAATTTTATACTTTAGCTTTTGCCACATTTTTGTAGATTTATAATTAATAATTCCTCTTTCAAATTCAAATTCAAATTCAAATTCAAATGTAATTAAAATACGTTTGTTCATAATAGAAACATTTAACGATTTAAAAAATCCAATATGAAATTTAAAAAATTAAAAATCGCATTTGAAATTTTTCAAACGAGGTTGTTGACAAGAATTTAAAGATTTAAGGATTTAGAAAAATTGAAAGTTTTAAACGTTCTTTTTGTTAAAACAATTTAATTTTAATATTCTTATGACCGGATAGGAAATAAAACTTGTTCGTTCTAAAATTAAAATTGGGGGGGGGGGGGCAATATGACGAGTATAACCATCTATGTATTTTCAATGAAAAATAGAAAGAAACCCCCGTAAATAGTTGTTTTAAGTGTTTAATAAATTTGAAAAAAGCTCTGTATTCTTTAATTTGCAGCTAATTTTAATTTCGATTTAATTTTATATTAAAAATATTCTTCCTTATACAGTGTAGACTTTATTGTAATAATCTTAGTGTTTGTGAGAATTTTGGCCTAGCACATAATCTTAATGGAAAGAAAAACATAAAGATGGGGAGGGGGGGGGGATTAAGAAAAATCGAAAAGATCTACAAAATATCTTCTTAGATCATAAATATGATAAAATGCATTGCCCTTTAAAATGAAGTTTACGTCATGCCAATACAAAACAAAACAATTAAGAGTTGTAAATGGGAAAACTGGTTAGGGACAACTTATCCTTCTAATCCTTGGTTAACTTGATGACATTTTCTTATCAAAATAAAATGAGTTTGTTGTAAAAATAAACTCTTCATCAGAATTTTAGATGTAATTATTGACAAAAAGGTTTTCGGTCCTACAAATATATAGAATTACGTATAGTTACATAGCGGAGTAACTGAGTTCATAGATGTATAGTTACTTAGCTGGAGTAACAGAGTGTATGTATAGTTACCTAGCTGGAGTAACAGAGTGAATAGATGAATTAGTTTGTGACCAAGGAATACATGGTAACCCACTTTCAGTCTTAGAGTAGGTTCCACGGTAATTTACAGAGGAAGATATACATTCTTCAACACCTTGATTATAATGATGATAATGATGATAATGATGATAATGATGATAATGATGATAATGATAATAATGATGATAATGACTATAATGACTATAATGATGATAATTATAATGATGATAATGATGATAATGATGATAATGATGATAATGATGATAATGATGATAATGATGATAATGATGATAATGATGATAATGATACTAAACAGGTAGGAAAGTAAATATGAACAAAAATGCGTGGCTGTTACAAAACATGCTTTTATGAAAATGATGATTCAATTATGAGTTTTTAGCTTACCTTTTATAGATACTGCAAGTATGATAATTAGGATAAGAACAAGAGGAACTATAAGGAATAAATATTGAATTCTTCGATCCAGCATAGATATTCGAATATACCATGGTTGATACTGAGCCCATCTAAACATATATATCTGTATATCCACTTTTAGAAATAACAAGGCCCGTAGCTGGGAATTTTTCACTAGGGGTGGGGGAGGGGGGAAAAATGTTAGAACGCAAGACTATTTACAACTTAACATCAAATATGCATAATATTGTTGAAATATCGTCTTTAATTTCTACAGTTTTATGGATCCCAGTCTATAACAAAATTAAACTGAGTATACTTTAAGTAGTTATAAATACCAAGTGGTTTAATTTGATCTAAATTTTGTGATCTATTTTTTTCGATTTGTTTTACCTTTTTGCCTCTAGAATTCTGTTTCTTAGATTAGATACTATTGATGAATCCTCGAACGAAGAAGGATCTGAGCCTAATGATTAAAGGGACTGTAGACGTTAATTCAAACGATTCTCATTTAATAGGTGACATGGCCATCCAATTTATAACGGCATCCTTTAAACCTTAATCTGACTAACACGTAGGACGTTATATTGGTATTTTTGTAAGCTGTTTCTGGGCGATATCCCCTTTAAAAGAACAAATAATCTAACCCAGCATAAGGCCCAGGCAGCATTTTACGGAATAAAAATTCTGAATCGGATAAACTGTACTGAAGAAGAGTTCACCTGATTCCTGCATGGTTTTAATCTAAGCAACGTCACAGTTTCTCTCCAGATTCTGCCATTAATTTAGAATAGATGGATGGAGCTAGGGGAGTTACCATTATCTACTCTACACCAGTTTATAGTCTTCAATCTAAGCCAAGGAAATTAGAATCAAGGATTATAGTTAACCAAATTTAAGAAAAGAATGAAAAGCAGAGTTGGTGACATATTTTTTATTACTGAAAAATTATGAATTTCAGGAAATGATAAAAACAAAATATTTAGATATTTGGTATTTTCACACAATTAAAAAAAATAAATGTTTTCTTTTTTGTTGATTTTTCTTTTAATCTAGTTTCTTTGGTTGAAATCTCAACTCCTCTTATCAAATGTCACACATCACACTTCCTTTCTTAGCTGACCCTACCCAACCTAGGAATCCAACATATTTATAATCAGACAACACAATCTGAAACATTTTTTAATATATCATAAGTAAACATGTTTTGTCTGTTTCCTGGGTTTGAAACAAGAAAGATATTACTGAGTATACTAGCTTGATTTAAAAAACCCCTCTATATTCAGTAGGAGCTTAAGGGGGGTGGGGGGAGAAGGGGGGACGGCCCTTCCCATGAAAAATTGAGGGGGTACGCCCCCCCCCATTGGAAAAATTAGGGCCGCGAGAAGAGACAGCAGACATCTTCTAGCCCATTACCAAAAATCATCAAATTATTTAAATATCTGAGGAAAACTAAGAAAAAAACATAGTTTTCCTCGGATATCTTAGCAATTTGATGGTTTTTACATTTTAAATTTTCACATTTTACTCCAAAACCCAGGATGGGTACAATTCCAAAACCCAGAGAGCAGCCACCCCTCCCTGTCTGTCAACCTCCCTCAATTTATTTTGAGTTATATACTTTAAGGTATATATTGTAAGTGGGGGATAGGATTTGTGTACATTTTTCTGTGATTTATTTCGGCATTTCGTTGTCACTGGTCAAGAACTGGTTTAAGGTTTCAACAATTATCAAACAAACAGATAAGTTTGTTGAGTTTGTTTATCCTTGCATTACGGCCTTTTTTCCAAATGTACACAGAATAAACATGACATATTTCATGACGTGTTGTGGTTGTACAGTCCACGTTAAATACAGGGTGTCCCTCAAAACCTAGTTAATTTTTTTTAATGTCTTCTTTCATAAATATCGATAAATTTGTTTGATACCAAAAAATTTAATAAAATTAGCATCATGATAATTTTGTTAACGAAATAAACTGAAACAAGTCTTAAAAATATAATTTACAGTCTATGGAAGAAGACATTCAAAACTATTCACCAACTGTCATGTTTCGTGGGACACTCTGTATATGTTAAACGCACTTTTAATCACTAGCTTACACTTTAACTACATTCTTGACACTTGTATATTGTACACTGTACAGTGTAGAGTATATTATGTACAATTATTTACCGTGTTTACGTTTAGACATTCTTGAGATAAACTAAACCAAGGCCTACATTGGTATATTTTGCCTAGAGCATAAATATATATATATGCACGGACACTCTAGTATATTCTACCTGTATTCCCTGTATCCTATAGTTCCTTGCATACCGGTACTACCAGTTTTAAGTCAACTCTACTGTCTATCTACCTACCTATCTATCATATACCCGTCTATCTGTCTATCTATTATATATCTATCCATCTATCTGCCTATTTCTTATATAATAGAGATGTAAAGCTCAAGAGTAGATATATACAGGGTTACTCACAAAGGATGAGACTTCAGAGACGATTAATTGTACGGAATTTGTACCGTCTCGCTTCCCTACAACTGTAAACTATATCTGTTTCCTTGCCAAATCATTTAAAAAGACATTAAAAGGTTATATTCAGGGCCGGAGGTAGACTTATTTTAATCTCGGGATTGTCGTATCTTAGTGTCGTCGTGTCTTTACAGTTTCATCCTTTGTGTCTTTCATTGCTAAATAATAATTTAATCAGCCATTTCCAGATTTTACCCGAGCCAGTAGATTTAACATAAGCTCTGGGGATCTTCATATCTTTAAAATTTCAAGTCGTCTTTACAGTCTCATCCTTTGTGATTAACCCTTTATGTTAGTTGAGTATAAAGTTTATATTTAAACGCACTTCTCATCACTATTTTAAATATTTACAATTTAAACAAATAACCATCTTTATTGTTTCAAAAGCTGGTTAAAAACGGAAGAATTGGGAAGCGTCGAGGGGCCTCAATTTAGACTACATTTTTAAAATCACATATTATATTTATAATTCTTGTTATAAAATAGTCTCCCTCAATAATAAGACGTACAGAGGTGTGTGTGCTAAATTCAAATTTTCGACCTATAATCGATTAATAATTGTATAATCTTACGACCTTATATTTCTAAAAATATCTAACTATTTACTAAACTCCAATTATTTTACAATATATTCGTCTTATTTATTCTAGAGTCTACAATACAAAACAAATATCTCTTTATTTATTCAATAATCATATAAAAAATAATGACAAACAGTAACGTTGCTGTGACTATAACTTTTAGCACAATTCGTGAAATAATTTTCAAAATTGTATTTTGATCGGACATATTTCGAAAAATTCAAAACGCTTTAATCGCCAATTTAGCTTTATCAATCTGTAATTAATCTCTAAACTTTTTATTTATGTCTTTCATATTTATTGATATCATAATCATACGCCGTAGCAGTTGATCCTGTGTAGTTAAAGCTAGGTTCGGGTAGTCGATCCGCAATAGAAATTCGAGATTTCATCTTATCAGTCTTCTCGTTCCAGGCGTTCCTTTTCGTCCTGAAGTACAGATTAGTTTAAAGGGACTGTTGTTGTAATTTTATGTGACCCTTCATTTCAGAATAATAGAATATACGAGTATAACAAAGGTACTCTGACAAACTTTGTCTGATTAAGAAATTTCCATTGATTCTAATTTGTCTCAGAGTAAATGACATTCCTTTTTAAAGAGGGGATTCAATGATAAACCCGAGGGCTTGCGGATTTTGCGGATTTTTTTGCCTTTGTAGATTTTAAGTATCTTTCAATGAAAATATCCCGGCGGGATTAAATGAAAATTGTTGCATACCAAAAAACCAGCTTTTTATAAAGGAATGGAAATTTAAACCCCCTCGGGATTCAATGATAAACCCTTGGGATGTTAAAAATATATTTATAGTGGTTGAGAGAAAAAAGCAGGGACGGGCAAGTTTAATAATGTTGCCTAGAATGAAATCAATTTCTGAATAATGTTTGTCGTTGTCGAGAGAAGAGTTGTAAAACCATTGAAAACCTGGCGGGATTCAATGGAAACTTACTTATTTAAAGAAATTGAAATGATTTTAGAGTAGCGGGATTCAATGAAAATTGTTGCATGCCAGTTTAGATATTTTCATATTTTTAGTTCATTTTTAATTATGATTTATATGTTCTCTACAAAAGTGACTTGCGAATATCTGATTTCAGAAACAATGAGAAAAATATGAATTAAACACTTTTCCAACTAGTAAAACAACAATATCTGGGACATATTATTAGGTGCCGTTCTACATCAGGTATCCCTCTCTTTAATTGGAAGCTCACTTGAACAACGACGTTCCATTTAATATTCGATTAATTTTAAGGATTAACTAATAAAAAAATGGTTTTTATCTTTATCAAAGTCGAATTAAATGAATTTGAATTTTCTAATCCTTTCTAATGCAATACAAGAATAAACTTTTGAATAACAAATAAATCTGTAAAATTTTGTTAAAAACCTGCCTGTTTTTAAACTTAATGTTTTCTTTAATAATACTCTCGACCCTCCCTTGTAAAACCTTAAAGCTGGGCCGGGATCTAGGATTTCTCTCCCAGCAATCCTAAACAAAATTAAGTAATTAAAGGGAGTGTTCATTTATTTTAAACACACATGATACTACAATTTTTTTTATTTAAACTAATTCAGAGAAGATTAAGCATTGATCTAGATATCCACAATTCTAAAGTTTTCAGAGCTGAAAACTTAAGAATGGGATATCCTTAATCCCGATCGGTTTATTAATCTGGAGATTAATAACAAGAGGAGAACAAGCTTTATTTAATCTGGAGATTAAGAAAAAGAGGAGATCAAGCATTGATCTCAATATCCGCCATACTAAAGTTTTCAGCTCAGCTCAGATGGTCAGTAATCTTAAAGAGAATTTTTAAGATTTACTTTTCCAACTTTCTCCCTAATACATATGTTTTAACTTAATGTACTCATTTTAAAATCAAAGTTATTTTTAATCAGAGCTATATCTAAACCATCGACACTTTTTTTCTAGTGATAATTTTAAAGCTAAAATTATCATATGACAATTTTTTTTCATTTACATTTAAGATTAATAGCAAGGCAATAAAGGAATTCAGTCTTTGCCACAAACTCTAAATTTCTTTGTAGCCGGGTCGTAGACATTGGGCTGAATGCTGTTAGATCAAATATTCTAAGTTTGAAATATCTAAGGTTTACACCATCAAGTTGAAAAGATAGAGATAAAAAATTTGAGTTTGTGACAAAGACTCAATTCCTTTGGCAGATTTTTCTGCTTTATTTGGCGAGGATTAAAACTATAGTACAGTTGAAAAAAGTGACATTTTTAATCTATTCAACAAAAACCACTCTTAAGTCCTGAAGTCAAAAATTGGGCTCCGATCAGTTCAGCTGTTTGGATGTTTTTTTAAATAAAAATTAGATTTACATCTTTGCATTTCCCCGTTACCTTTAGTAGATTGTAAACTGAATCCATGAGATATTGTGGAGTCCTAAAGTAGTTTTTAGGAGGATCCATCAAAAATGGTCCTTCTTTCAGCTTTTCTTTTAATTTTTCCTAAATTAACATTATTTTCGAATGATTTAAATCTCCTGTGGTGAACTTAAAATCATTCTAAAAAAAGAGAATATTTGTCAGAACTTCAACTTTTTTCGTTTAAAAAATACAATTGGGTTGTTTTTAACGTCATGACTTTTCATATAGCACGTCATACCGGATTACATATATTTTTGCATTCTGATCGTATAGACCTTTCAATTTAAACCTAGTCTTTTTGATCTAAACTAATTCAAAGTTTGAAATCTAAAAGCAAAACTCAAAGTTTCTTTACGTGGACCACTTCCTGGACTTTTTACAAAAACAAAAACTTTTCTTTGTGTAATGTTGTTTAGATACTGATGTATGTTATTGAATTAGTACAAATGAGAAAATCAGCGTGAATGAAGGTGGTTTCTATTTATTCATTATCCTAGTTTAACACGACTCTAATATCCTAAAAACTTTACATTGTCTTAAAAAAACAATAAAGTTGGTTTTCGATGAGATCCACCTCCAAATAAAATTGTGACGTCTTTACAATATTGTATTACGGAGTTATCTTTAAAAAAAGTGCACTATTTCCTAAGCAGAGTATCTCACATTTTTCCCGAAAGGAATTGAGTCTCTGCCACAAACTCAGATTATTTCACCCCTATATCAACTCTTGATGTAAAACTTTTATATTTCAAACTTAGATTATTTGTTCTGACAAAATTCATAATTTAAAATACTTAATATTTACATCATTGTGTTGTAACTTGCAGAGATATATGGAATAAAAAATCAGAGTTTGTGGCAGAATCAACTTCTTCGGGGTTTTGAAAAAAAAATAAACTCACGTTTAGAAAAAAAAACTACTCTGAAATTGGTAATCCTTATTTGAAATTGATTGCGGTAAAAATTATACTCAAATTGATATACTTTAGATTTTTTAAAAAAATTGGGGTACCATGATTTAAAACCAATTTTTTTTTGACTTCCTTATGAACAAAGAAAATACATATAAAGTTTTTCTTCTAAGATTTCAGACTTGTGGTTTTTAGTGTTAACATCTTGGATGATATTTTTGATTTTTTTGTTGCAAACTTGCAACAAACAAAAGTAAATGGTTAAACGAAAATTGGTTTTGTGTTTGACCAATGTATGTTGATATAAAAAGATAAAGAGAAGTGTTCTGTCTCCTGGGGGGTTTCAGGTTCGATATTTATTATTAAACAAGAAAAAACTGTTTGAATCACAGGAGTTACTTGTCAATTTTTTATTGACAAAAATAGACAAAAATAGGCATTTAGAGAAAAATCTAAATAGACAGCTTTAGATAACCAGATAGACAGATTGACAGAAAGACAGATAGATAGTTATTCAGATAAACAGATAAACAGACAGCAAGATAGACGGATAGACAGATATCTCACGTATGCCAATTTACAGTTTGTTTACAGATCGCTACAGTTGGTACGTAATTATCTCCCAGCAAGCTGTAAATTTTAACCCAATCAAACATGATTTTTTTTTTTAAGTGTAAAAAGACTACTCTGTATATTTTCAAATAGTTTTAAATCATAGAACAAACCGCGGTTATAATCAAAGTTAGTCCAGGATGAGAAAGACAGATAGACATAGAGGTAGATTTAAATATATTGAAAGAAAGAAAGATAGACAATGAGACAAAAAGATGTGATTAATCCAAAAGTTTACCTTAGGTAAACCATGATAAGGACGGTCAGCTAGTGAAACTAGTTCCCACATGGTGACGCCAAACGACCAAACATCAGATTTATGACTAAACTCTCGTTTGTCTGAAATAAATTGTTAATCTCCATAAAGACGACCTTTAGATTCAAGTTATGACTTTAAATAGTCCAACAAGTATGGAACACATGAATTATGCAGTGTAAACAGACCTATTACACTTAATTAGTGATTTAATAAGTGTCTTATAGTTTTATGGTTATTACTGTAGGATGAGACTCTATTTAGACAATCTGAAAAATAAAACATAACTTGTGTAAGATGGTCGAAAATTAATGGAAAATTACTAAAAAAATCCCATAAACAAACAAATAGAATCCTATATAAGCTTAAAACTAAGAATGGTGGATATCGAGTAAAAATCTCTTTTTATTTATCTGTCAATTAATTTAATCTTACATTTATATCCAGGGAAGTGTCTAAAATGCAAACAATCAGAGTGTCGATGGTAGAAACCGGACAGTCAATCAGAAGCCGAGAAATTTTTTAATTTTGCGCGCAATCATTAACAGAACTCTTGTTTGTCGGAACCCAAAAGAGAAGATAAATAATGTATAAATAGATTAGCAATTAGGATTAAGTGTGACCCAATACATGAATTTTTAGCTCTAAAGTCATTATGTTGAAATCGAACAGTTACTTCGATTACTCCGTTACGTCGATATTATGATATAATAATAATAATAATAAATAACAAAGATATGTATCTACAGTTACACAGACACTGTACAGCTCCATAATTAATAATTTTACCATAAATATGTTCTCAACGCTTACCTATTGCTTCAGGAGCACTCCAATAAACAGCTATTATTGGTTTTCCCTCCTCTTCCTTCTCATCCAACCTGTCAAAGGTTAGCCCGAAATCCGCAACTTTTGCTTGAAATAGACGGTCTAACAGAACATTCCTAAATGTCGTCTTCAAGTAAACTTTTGTTTTCTTTCCAATGTTGTCTTGATATATATATTTGTTAAATACCTGGCTGCCAGATCTCTATGAACAAGACTGCGAGATTCCAAATATTCCATGCCCTGACATCAAACCAAATCATATAAATGAAAAGAATAAAAATTGCGATCTATAATTCTTACTGGTGATAGAAAAATACTTTTTCTGGAACCTAACAATGTTTGGTGATTTTTAACAAAAACAAATCATATTAATTCCAATAAACCTTGAAACATGAACAAGAGTAAATTAAAATTTATATGTGTTCAATATACCTAAATTGTTCTATTAGAGAAACAAATAGATTATCAAGTACAAAATGATGGCAACGCGGAATACGTACACTCTCAGTTCAGCTGTATTTATGTCACAAGTGTCAACTCAGTTTTATGTGTCTGACAAAACTATAAGTTATAGGGATAAATTTAGACTAAAGTGCTTTACTTACAGAGTAATAAGAAGTGCAATTTTATTTTCTGTTTTTATATTTTTTTATTTATTGTCCTCTTGACTAAATAAACGGATTGAAACTGATATTGTACATTACGCTCTTATATTTTAATTTGAATATATTACGTTAAAACATATTACAGAAATGTTTAATGACATATTCGGGGAAGTCCTTTGGAGAGGTTTTACCGAGGTTAAATCCCCCAGATCCGGCGGAAATGCAGGCAATAAGAGTTTTCTAATAATGAAATGTCGTCTTCAAAGGGTATTTATTTTTTTTCTGAAGTGTCGTATTTGATTAAAGGAATTGAGTTTTTACCACGAACTAAAATTTTACAATCCCTATATCTTTGCAACCCAAATGTGTTATCCTTTGAAATGTCAAACTTTGATTAATTGATATAACATAATTCATAGTTAGAAATATCTAAGGTATACAACATTGGGTTGCAAAGATATAGGAATAAGAAAATCGCAGTTTGTGGTAAAAACTCAATTCCTTAAGGAACACATTAAAAATATACAAAAAAGCAAAAAATTTATTGAATTAATTAAAAATCTATATATATTTATAAATATATATATATAAATATTTGGCATATATTATTGTAGGTCAAATTTTCGTATTGCTTGTTACATTTGACACTTGTGAGTTGTGACGTCGTGAATATTTTACTTCATAATCTATTTGATTGTGAAGAACAAGAAAGTTTTTATTTTCTTTTTTTTGTAGCAGAATAAAACTGTTTTTCTTATACTTATACGTAAAATGAAAACTAGAGGAGCTCCGTGGTTGTAAAGTCGTACGAGTAATATGGTGCATAAAATTTACCTTCTTTACCTTTACCTGTCTAGTTTTGGATGGTTTACCTTGAGTATTTGAAGAGACCAGACTAGTGTTGTATGAAATCTAGGAATATTTTCATCCTTATCTTTTCTCTTGTCATGAGGAAATTTCAGGAATAAAAACTTTCTGAACAAACAAAAAATTGAATTAATGTTAAGTAATATTTTCATCCTTATTCTTTCTCTTATCATGAGAAAATTTCAGGAATAAAACTTTCTAAACAAAGAAATTAATGATAAATATCTTTTTGAACATGGGTCGGCGTATATTTCAATACATTATTTTGAGATGACTAATCATTTTGTTCAGTAATAAACAGGAAAGTTCTGAAAAATTATGATTTATCTAGTTTTCTAATCCCTGTTCCATCTTTGCAACCTGATGTCGTATATCTTTGACTATTTGATCCAGCAAAATTCATAGTATCAAAAGACTCGAACATCAGGTTGCAAAGTAATATGGATTTGTGAACCATATCCCTCAAATTTCCCCTGTTGTAAAGGTCGTCTCCGACAAACTGTACCTCCCTTGAATATACTCCTTCCACTCACCAAACCAAACCTTGCCAAGGATTTTGCATAAACGTAAACAACAGCCGCATGGAGCTAATAAAACTTTAAGTGCATTAAAAGAACCCATTTAAACATAATTTCAGTGAATCATTTGCAATCAAATAGTGAACTTATTTAATCAGACGAAATATTTATTTTCAGAAGAATTAAATTTGCTTTAGACTTCTGTACAAACAACTTTTCGACCCAACACAGTTTTCTAGATTGTAAGTTTCATTCACAACAGTACCTTTTAAACCTTTTATTAATCGGTTCACAACAGTGCCTTTAAACCCTTTATTTATCGATTTACAACAGCAAAAAAAATATGATCCCCAATCCTGCTAAACCCACTAAACCTAAAATCTCCAATCCTACTAAACCTACAAGACCTAGAATTCCAATACTCATTTATTGATAATCAAAAAACCTTCAACTGTTTAATCTTTATTAACAATTATTATTTATATGCATGTACGCCAATAACAATTTGTATTTTGTAGGAAACCTCGTTACTGAAATATACTTTTTCAAGAAGTTATCATCTATCTGTGTCTGGTAGAAAAGAGTGTTTTCCTTGCCAACTTGCCTTTCCCTCTTTCGAGTATTATTCCTTTTGTTCAGCTCACAGGATTGTAGAATTAGATTGTGAGAAGAGTATTTGAAGCTTATTTTCTCCAAATTTCAATTTAATCCAAAGATACCAATTCCCGAAGTACAACGGTGTCCTTTAAAGGGTTTTCTGATTAAGTATGAAAATCAGATATGAATGTTTAGAATTTTAAAAACGGATTGTTTTTAATTGAGGTTCCACTACAAAAGTGACCTGCGCATTTTCTACTGCAGTAAAACATTATGATTTATCAAAACTAAACACTTTTTAATCTTGAAAAACGATAACATTTTCCACATTATTGCTCGGATAAAGGTTTCCATGGTACCTTTGTGAATCGGACATTGTCATCTTTGTATGGAGGATCCTTTGAAATTACGCGAACAGTCCATTTAGTTTACCTAAGATGATGCAATAAATCCCCGTTAACACAAAGTTCTTGAATAAGGTAGAACGGAGATTTCTCTATACAGACCCCGAACATTTTCACAACATGAGGATGGTTTAATCGTTTCATTATCTCAGTCTCCTAGACAACAACAACAACAACATGAGGATGGTTTAATCGTTTCATTATCTCAGTCTCCTCCTCAACAACAATAACAACAAGAGGATGGTTTAATCGTTTCATTATCTCAAGCTCCTAGACAACAAACAACAAAATAATCCTAGACAACAAACAACAAAATAAATAATTTTCGAATTTCTATATTTTAGACTAACTTGAACAAAATTAGAATTGAAAAATTTTTGAGCCTTGATGTATCATGATTGGGATGCTTTTACTCACATATATTTAATCCTATTATTAATATAAATCAGATATTTACTCACATATATTTAATCCTATTATTAATATAAATCAGATATTTACTCACATATATTTAATCCTATTATTAATATAAATCAGATATTTACTCACATATATTTAATCCTATTATTAATATAAATCAGATATTTACTCACATATATTTAATCCTATTATTAATATAAATCAGATATTTACTCACATATATTTAATCCTATTATTAATATAAATCAGATATTTACTCACATATATTTAATCCTATTATCAATATAAATCAAATGTTTACTTTTAAAAAAGATTCTATTTTTGAACCCAGTTTAATCTGGGAACTAAACTTTCACTATTACAGACAAACCAATCAAATCAGATTTTAGAAAAATTCCCGTGGTTTCGCCGAGTTCTCCAATCAAATAATTTACGATCGGACAAACAGAGATTACTACTTTATGATAGTAGATACATAATTCAATTTTTCGTATACATCTTTCTGAATGAAAAAAAAAGACAAAACCTTCAATTTACTCAGTTTAGTAAACAATCCTTAAACTACAAACTTGCATTTTACCTTGAGAAACGTTTCCTTCTCTCTCTCATGATTATTCCTGGATCCTTTATCAACTCTCAGGGTTTTCACAGCTACAGGAATCTATATCAAAATATTGTTTTTTAAAATAACAAAATGGGATTTACAGTGGTCGACGTTTATATCAATACAAAAAGAACCAACGAGGTGATAGTGTGTAGAGCACTAAAGAATATTCTAAAAAACTATTCAAAACCTCGGATAGAAGTAAGTAGTTCATCGTTTCTCTCCGACGCACAAAGAACTAAACAGTCTCATAATGATCTGGATTTGTCCAACTTCTTTTTAAAAACTAACCTGGTTTCTCCATATCCCTTTGTTAACAGTACCAAAGAACCCATGCCCTAGTTCCTCCAGGAGTTCTATTTCCTCCCTTGGAACCTGCCAAGCATCAGTCTCAGACTCGAGTTCCCACCTTCTGCAAACCATAAACAAATCAAATTCTTATTCTTATTTACATCAATAAAATAAAGACGACTTTTCTATTTTTTTCTTCAAAATGGTCTTTTTAATTTACAAGTTTACAAGTAAACAAAGAGAAGCTGTTGATTGACAGCTTTTTTGTTTTTATGTTTATGTGTATCAATGCTGTTTTAAAGCTTGGTAGAAATCAAAATTAAAATCCCAGGTCGTCTTCATTGTATTGATGTATACGACGACGACTGTAGTTTACCTTAGAAAAGCTGGGTCTGAAGTTGGGTTTGAAAGGATACAGATTGTAGTCAGGTTAAATGGAGATAGATCCACAGCCTCGGTTAGATAGTGGTTCAATAGTTTCTAAATTTAGACAATATGTTGACGCAAAGCAATCTATTACTTGCTTCACAATCTAATTGTTCAATGCTCATATCTTTGCAATCTGAGGTTGCAACTTGCAAGCTGGCAGCAATAAGTGTATTTTGATTTTTCCTCCTGCAAAATAACCAGGTGTTCACAGCCTCAGTTGTTTTCTAAACCAATCTGAACCGAGCAAATGAGGAGAAATCTTACAGTGTTTTATAAGTAGCCCTTGTAGAACTTTGATATTTCAACCTATGAATTCTGTTAGATCAAATAGTCATAGTTCGAAATATGAAAGGTGTAATTTCTCTCAACCCACATAGATCTTGCCAGCCAACATTTCACTATAGTTTCAGTAGAAGTAAATATTTCCATTTACTGTTATAGCTGATATAAGGATTTATCTCTAATTGGATAATGAGCTAAATATAAAGATAGATGTTACCACCATGCAATTTTTATTGGTTCAGAATAGACACCAAAAACATGGCTAAACCCTGATTGATTGGAGCCCTGGAAACCATCAGGTTGAAAAGTTAAAGGTATTAGAGAATTAGAGTTTGAGGCAAGTATTAAGCTAAGTTATGGGCCGATTTTATTAGAGTTCAAAACAGTTATTGTTAGACTTATAAAATATTTGTAAAAGCATCTAAAAACGTTTCAAATTCTTTAAATATGATCCACGCTTTTTCAGTTTTTCAGACTTTTCTACCTTAAAAGTAAAAACCTTTAAAGCTGTTCCCTGGACTAACCATTCGTTTTTTAATTCAACCACGTTTTAGTCATTAATTCAATCATATTAAAACTTACAGAGTTATATTTATTACTTTTTCATATAAAACGCGTCCGGCGACAAAGTTTAAAAAAAAAAATACTTATTCAAACTTACTTGGTCAAGGACCGAACTATTAGGTAACCGTGACTGTTTTCCAGTTTAATATAAATATTAATTTAGAAACTTACCTCAAGAGAACTAAATTTTTCATTTCTTTTCAAATACAATTTTACTTTTCCTGAAACAATTTTTTTACGTCATTATCTTAAAAATTTTGTAGATTTGTGTGTAGGCTGCTCTTTAGTTTGAAGAAAGGAATATGTAACATTTTGAGAATCATAAAGAGACTGTTATATAATTTTAAGCGACTCCATTGTCCGATTGAAAAGGAAGATATCCTAGATTTCCTATATTTTTGTTGTTAACCTAACATTTCAATTTATAGATATCTCCCATAGTTTTCCTAAGGAAAGGGATAACGTTATGAATCTCTTTAAATTGAGGTTTACGTCGACAGTTCCTTTGATTTTATAACCTTTTATCAAACAAATTGTGCTTGTTCATTTTTATGTTTTTAAGATCTAACCTGTCTCCTTGTTGACTGCTTGATGAATGTTAAAATGACTCATTTCCCATTTTGAGTTTTCTTCGTTAAACTTCTTAACTAAAAAAGAAAATTCATAAATCAATGTCATTGTTATTATTATTATTATTATTAGTATAATTATTATTATAATTATTTTTAAAAATTTATTATGTTTTTATTGTTTACTGTTTTTATCACCGCCCATTATCAATAATGCAATTTTCACTTTTATTGTGAATATTTTTGTTTTAAAAGTAGAATAATTGGCTGAATTGTAAGATGGAATAAATTTACAGTTGGAATTCAGCGCACGTGAAAATATTTGAAACCGGTTAACTGACCAAAAGTAGGATGCCGGAAAAAAACAAAAACAAAAATACCAAATAATATGTGGACAAATTGAAGTTGAATTCAGGAAGTGAAGATTGTAATAAAACCTACGGTATTATATTTCGTACTACCAATTTAATAAAGAAAATTAAATAAATTTAAAAGAAAATTATAGTTTTTAACTGATCTTGAGCAAAATAAAATAATAGAAAGACTTTGATAACAAACTGGAAAAAGATTTATAGATATTTTTTTTTATTTGTATGCGTGAGCTTGTGCCCACACCCCTTATCCAAAAATAAATTATTAAAGTTAAATATAAAAGAAAATAGTAAAATAATGTAAAATAATAATGAACCTGAAAGAACGAATTGGTTTTTATTGTTACTAAATCTGAGAAGAAAGGCCCCCTGAGGGTTGGCAGAGTTATGAAGTAGTTCTTCACTCTCTTCCCGACTTAAATCACCTGAACAAAATATTTTAAAATATTTTTTTATTAATCAATCCTATTATTTGATGTTAGCTTTTATACATACTTTAAACCTACAAAATATAAGGAAGAATTTCTGCTTTTAATATTGTTCATTAATGACAAACTAATCAATAAGAGAAATTAGCTTACAACTGCAGGAATAAATGATTACAACTGCAGGGATAAATGGTTACAACTGCAGGGATAAATGGTTACGACTGCAGGGATAAATGATTACAACTGCAGGGATAAATGGTTACAACTGCAGGGATAAATGATTACAACTGCAGGGATAAATGGTTACAACTGCAGGGAAAAATGGTTACGACTGCAGGGATAAATGATTACAACTGCAGGGATAAATGGTTACAACTGCAGGGATAAATGATTACAACTGCAGGGATAAATGATTACAACTGCAGGGATAAATGATTACAACTACAGGGATAAATGATTACAACTGCAGGGATAAATGGTTACAACTACAGGGATAAATGATTACAATTGCAGGGATAAATGATTACAACTGCAGGGATAAATGATTACAAGACTGAATAAATTTCGAAGTTTCATCCTTTGTTATAACCCACTGTATATAAATACAAATACTTTATATATTTGTGATTTTTTTAAAAAGCGCATGTAGCTATTCAATAATAGTATAAAGAAATTGAGTCTTTGCCACAAACTCTGATTTTTTAATCTCAATATTTTTTGTAGCGAAATAATGAGAGTTAAAACTACTAACTAAACCCTTCAAAATTTTGGAAAAACAAGCCAATGCAGTACCAATAACGGTCCTTTTCTTGCCTCTTTAACTTTTCTTTTTCAACCCTTTTCCTTTCTAACCTTTCCCTTTCTAACCTTTTCCTTTCTAACCTTTTCCTTTCTAACCTTTTCCTTTCTAACCTTTTCCTTTCTGACCCTTTTCTTTCTAACTTTTTCCTTTCTAACCATTTTCTTTCAAAGCTTTTCCTTTCTAACCATTTCCTTTCTAACTTTTTCCTTTTAACCTTTTCCTTTCTAACCTTTTCCTTTCTAACCCTTTTCTTTCTAACTTTTTCCTTTCTAACCTTTTCCATTCCATCGGCCTTTAATTTCTAGCCTTTTTCTTTCTAACCTTTTCCTTTCTGACACTTTTCTTTCTAACCTTTTCCTTTCTAATCTTTTCCTTTCTAACCTTTTCCTTTCTAACCTTTTCCTTTCTAACCTTTTCCTTTCTAACCTTTTTCATTCCATGGGCCTTTTATTTCTAGCCTTTTTCTTTCTAACCTTTTCCTTTCTAACCTTTTCCTTTCTAACCTTTTCCTTTCTAACCTTTTCCTTTCTAACCTTTTTCATTCCATGGGCCTTTTATTTCTAGCCTTTTTCTTTCTAACCTTTTCCTTTCTGACCCTTTTCTTTCTAACCTTTTCCTTTCTCACCTTTTCCTTTCTAACCTTTTTCAGTCCATCGGCCTTTTATTTCTAACCTTTTTCTGTTCAACCCTTTTATTTCTAACCATTTTTCTTTCTAACCTTTTTCTTTCTAACCCTTTTCTTTCTAACCCTTTTCTTTCTTACCCTTTTCTTTCTAACCCTTTTCTTTCTTACCCTTTTCTTTCTAACCCTTTTCTTTCTAATCCTTTTATTTCTAACCTTTTTCTGTTCAACCCTTTTCTTTCTAACCCTTTTCTTTCTAACCCTTTTCTTTCTAACCCTTTGCTTTCTAACCCTTTTTTTCTAACCCTTTTGATTCCAACTCTTTTCTTCCTAACATTTTTCTTTCTAACATTTTTCTTTCTAACATTTTTCTTTCTAATCCTTTTCTTTCCAACCTTTTTTCTCTATAACCTTTATTTTTCTAATTTTTCGATTTTTGTTTATTTTACCTAAAAACCATGGATACTGGTCCTCTCGTCTCTCCGAGTCCTTGGGATAGAAGTTGTACCTAGAGGTATACCCGGAGACAGGCTGGTGGGTCTCAGGATCTACAGTAGATACTTCCCACCAGACCTCATCAGAATCATCCCTAAACACCAGATAAATGATCTGCAGTAGATACTTCCCACCAGACCTTATCAGAAACATCCCTAAACACCAGATAAATGATCTACAGTAGATACTTCCCACCAGACCTTATCAGAATCATCCTTAAACACCAGATAAATGATCTGCAGTAGAAACTTCCCACTAGACCAGAATGATCTACAATAAATACTTCCCCCCAGAACTCATCAGAATCATCCCAAAACACCAGATTAATGGCTTAAAGTGGATACTTTCCACCAGATCTCATCAGAATCATCCCTTAACATCGGATAAATGATCTACAGTAGATATCTTCCACCAGACCTCATCAGAATTATCCCTGATCTGCAGTAGATATCTTCCACCAGAACTCATCAGAATCATCCCTAAAACCAGATTAAAGCCTGACAGTGAATACTTCCCCCCATAACTATCCAGAATCATTCCTAAACACCATATAAATGATCTGCAGTGGATACTTCCCCACAGATTTCATCAGATCATCCTTAAGCACCAAATACATTATCTACAGTGAATACTTCCCACCAGACCTCATCAGATTCATCTATAAACACGAGATAAATGCCATTTTTGTATTTTCAAAAAGAACTTTAAGGAATTAGAAATGTTTTCTGTTATTATTTGTTTCAGCTAAATACCTAAGTTTAAATATCTGATCTGGATTACATGTGACGCTCTCAATCCTATCCTTGAGAGGGATGAACAGGGTGAGCTGCTGTTTAGCGTGGAACTCGGAGTTCAGGTTTGGGTTCCGTCGCTTCTTCTTTAGAATCTTTGATGTCAACACCAGAAATGTAATATTAAAGAGAGTGTTCGCTAAAAAATAAAGAGTTTGTCCGAATAAAATCTAAATTCGATCTCTAAGGAGCGTAATGTTAAATACATTCAGCCAGGATAAAATTCGGAATTTATGTATTAAAATATCCGCTATATATATAATTGCATGATTTGGGTTTGAGTGGTATTATGCAATTTTGTGAATTTTATGGAATCTCCGTTCTTAATGTTGAGCTTTTTGAACCATTTTCTCATTTATAGAAGTAAAAATAGTAGGGATCGAATCCAAAGGAACTGAGTTTTTGCCACAAACCTACATTTCCCCCCCCCCCCCCTATATCTTTTACAATCAAATGTCATAGATTTCAGATATTTCAAACTATGAATACTGCTAGATCAAATAGACTAAGTTTGAAATATAAAAGCTGTGTACCATCACATTGGAAAGATATAGGGATTAGAACATTTGTGGCAAAAACTCAATTCCTTTGAATTGGGTTCAGCCTATACCCCTGTTCATTTTTAACAAACACTCACTTTAAAGGGATAGTCTACGATCATTTGAATGACCACAATCATTCACAAGTGAGTGGGGGAAACTTTTGAATGGGATACTGGTTATAAAGCTTCTGCATCTGCAACTGAACCTCGGGGTTATACGCCTTAAAGGAACTGTAAACGTATAGTTTCAAGTAACCCTTAATCAATAGATTTTTTGTTTTCAAAAAATTTATATTTTTAATTTGTAGTTTCTCTACAAAAACAATGGAAAAGTTTACAGAATTAAGCAATTTTCAAGCCAGAAAAACGACGTTTTCTTCCACATTATTGGTTAGATGAAGGTTTCAAAGTAAACTATTGTGAATCGGACAATACGAAATTACTTGCCTAATCCTCTTCTTCCCCGTTGTCAATTGTACAATTGTACAGGCCCCTCTTTTATTTTTAATTGAAAGGTCACTTGAAATTACTTTTCTAAACAGTTTTAAGTTTCAAAAGTTTCTCTCTCTGTTTCCAAGAAAACTAAGAATATCTCTATCCTTGTTTCATATATAAAGATTTGAAATTACAGTTTATGAGTGCAGTTTCTAACTTTACAGTGAAGAATTTAAAGAGATGGCTCATGTATAACTTTTCATATGAACAATTCCTTTAAAAGTGTTCCTATACTACGGAAGTGATTCTACAAAAGAAAGAGTGTATTTCAAAGATTCCTTTTTTCGTTTTCGTCCTTGAAAAAACTGAATAATAACATTTTCAGTTCCAACTAATTTTTCGTGAACGGTTTTACGCTGAACCGGCGCGGACGGAACATCTCGTTCCTGCCGACCCTGGCGGCTCATTGGTTTGCTCCTTAGCCCTGCTTTGCTGGCATTAATATTGCTTGTTTTGCTTCCGACTCTGCTCTGTAGTTCTAGCTTGCTCCGGGTTCTTCTCTCTAGCTCTAGCTTGTTCCATTTCTCCCGCTCTAGCTCCAGCTCACTCCAGGCTCGTCGCTCAAAATCAATTTTGCTTTCATATTCTTTTTTTTCTAATATTCGCTCAACTTGCTCCCTTTTAAATTGTCTCTGCAAGCAGTTTTGAATCAGCAATTTACAATTTTAGAGAAAAAAGCGATTACACTAATCCTTTGCAACCAATGATGTTAAAGAACTTTAACACAAAGGATGAGACTTCAGAGACGACTGAACAGAACTTAGACTGTCTGTTTTCTTGCAACGCTAAATTCTTTTTTTCTTTGCTAAAATATTTAAAACTGTATTCAAAGGAGGAGACCTAGTTTAATCCTGGAATTGTCATATGTGAGAGTTTCAAGTAGTCTTTACAGTCTCGTCCTTCATGGGTAAACCTTTTTTAACTATGAAGTATACTAGATCTCAAACTCAAAGTTTGAAACATCAAAGGTTACTTTATAAATTAAAGGGATTTTTAACAAATTAGTTTAAGGCAAGTGATCAGGGACTTTCAATAAATGGCGTGAATATACCTTAGACCTTTCTAATTTTAAATCTACCCTACAATGAATAACTATAAAGTATTTGAACTACGTAAACTAGTTGAACCGTTACATGAACCGACGGACTGGAATGGTTAAATTTTGTCTACGTTTTAACTACTTATCTCTCATTAAATTTTTACAAGATTTTTCTATTTTGTATTTCTCATTATTGCTGATTCAAGTTTGCCTTCTTTCGATTTTTTAAATTTTTAGAATTTTGTTGCTCTTCTTCAGCTGGGTCAATTTTTGATGGCAATTCGTTGTTCTGTTAAATCATATTTTTATCAAACAAAAATTATCTACAGTGGTTGATGGGAAATCTAACTAAAATGAAATAAAGGAATTGTTTTCCTATTTCCATATTTGATTGATTGACTGATTGATAGTGCTCCAAATTTTGGGAATAAGAAGCACAACTTAAGATGCACCTTACCGCGTAAATATGCAAAAGAACAACTTTCATCAGTAAGAAATGGTTAGTTTTTTATTCCAAAAATTGGAGTTTTGTGTACAATTTCAAATAGGATAACCATAGATTAATAACAACACAGATAGAACACTACATGACGTCCTTTCAAGATTTAGGGGTTTTTTTGTTCATAATAATCCTGAGTCAGAAGTCAAAAGGAGTTATGCGCATGCTACGTTGAATTACAAGACTCCATTGGGCCTCTGCATCAGGGTTATTGTGAACGAAAAACCCCTAAATCTTGAAAAGAGGACGTCCATTGTTCTATCTGTGTTGTTTTTAATCTATGAGGAAAACAAACTCTTTAAAATATGAAACAAAATTAGGTCCAGGGCATTTACATTAACTAGATCTGGATCCGTACTTTTGTATGGTAAAATATTTGAGTTTGTGCAATGTGCAATAGAATAAGTCATTCTTTGGTCAAAAGTTAAACTTTCTTTTGAACTTGAATACCACTTTTATCCAAACAAACGTTTCATAAAAGTCAAAATAAAAAAGTCATACATTTTTGGCATATTAATTGGTTATTTTTCAGACTAATTTTACATTAAATTTGTTTGCAGCGCTTTTGACATGATCATAACAATAAGATTTTGGTTTTTGGTTTTTAAAAATGATAAATTGTTAACCATGATGAATCACTTTGGACAATGCAAGTACATATTTAGTTCATCTGAGCATTTTCATATCACTTTTTTACAGAAATGACTTAAACTAATGTGCAATGTGTGATGTACAATGAACTTTAGTAAAATGGACGGACACCCAACATTTAACAATTAACAATGATCTGGATAAAATTACTTAACAATTGACCATGATCTGAATAAAAATACGTAACAATTAACCATGATCTGGATAAAAATATTCCTCATTTCTTGAATCTGAATATAGATCTGAAATTACTAAAGTGCTGTCTAAACTAGATACACTATCTGTATCTGTATCTGTATCTGTATCACAGTCCTGCTGTTTGATCTTTGAGAAATAATATTAATATCTTCAACAAAAATTTGTAATCAAAATTCGATTTTTTTAGCTGTTTCTTTAAAAAAGAACGTTTCAGTTTTTAAGAAAAATGCAGGAGTAATCTGGGGTTCCAGACTCCTCATTTCTCCACTTTACTTCGAATTAAGAATGATTATACTATTAGCTTGGTAACCCAGCTTTGCCTTGATATTTCCCTATAGAAGTCAACCCACTCAACTTAAAACATAAGAACATTCCCATGGTTATCCCGAGTTCCCCAATCAAAGTCTGAGGCGAAACTGTTCATGAGTTATGAAAGGCTATACAAACAAACAAACACCCATACCTACTTTATAATAGATGATAATGATAATAACATATGTATTTTATCCCAGCTTATCAATTAAAATGCGCACTATGTTATTTAATAAGAGTTTATAAGATATATAGCGTCTCCACTGGTGGAAAGTTGAGACCTTGAGCACTTTATGCTTAATAACTCTATATTTAGTCCTAACAGTTTAGTTTGGCCATAAACTTGTTAATTATTCTCCATTTATAAAACATGTATATTTACTTTATAATTTATTTTGTATTACATAAACTTGTTATTTATTCTCCATTTATAATACATGTATTTTTACTTTATAATTTATTTTGTATCACATAAATATGCAAGGTCTATAAAACCGCTTTTAAATTATTTTTAACAGACCAATAATATTCTTATTAAATATTAATGACGTGAATATCTTAGAATATGAATATAAATACGTGATTAATTTTAACCATGCATAAAAAACAAAATATTGAATAGACAAAAGCAAAAGTAACATCATTGATTATCGTTTGAAAAACATATTTAACAAAAATACTGTACAGTGCAGGTCCTAAACAATATAATATGTATCTTATAAAGGGTTACCTACAAAGTACAAAGGATGAAACTTCAGAATTATTTTATTCATTTATTTCATACCTTGACGATTCCATTCAGGATTTAGCTTTAAATGTTTTGCTTTTTTTGCCAAATTATCTATAATTATACGTAAAAGGACGATATCTAAAAATAAAGATTAAGTGTTTAAACCTCAGAACACGACTTCAGAATTAAAAACTTTACCTGTTATTTAAGCCTTATATAAAGTAGTAATCTCTTTTTTAGTATGTCCGATCTCAAGTCATGAACCCCTTGACTGATTTGCCTAAAATTTTGATCGAGGAACTCGGAATAAAAAGAATAGATTAATAGGACGCTTAGCGCCACTCTTTCTGTAATAAGTGTAGCTTTTAAAGAAATTTAACTATACCTTCAAGCACTTTTCTCCTTAAAATTAATAAAATGTAAAAATCTTGTTAATTCTCTTTTTAAACTCTCGTTCAATTTAGGTAGGTAGCTACTAGCTACTAGATAGCTGTAGTTATATGAACCAGTTTATTTGCTTTTAATTATTAAAGTTAAAAAGTTTCACTTTAAAGGTTTTTAATAATCAATATATAGTTGAGAAATATGAAGAAGTCTAAAAATCAATACAAAAAGTATATCAATATATTATTCATATAAAAGTATAATACAAAAAGTAAAATACATTATTAATATAAAAGTATAATACAAAAAGTATAATATATTATCAATATAAAAATCAATACAAAAAGTATAATATATTATTAATATAAAAGTATAATACAAAAAGTATTGGAATTAAAGTTGATTGATGTTTAATACCTTTTTAACTAAAATAGGATCATAAAGTTCATTAACTTCATATTAGTAATGGTGGATTTTTAAGAATGAAAAAAAATATTAAATTTTTTATCTAGATTTTGCCAAAAAAAAAAACTATACAACTAAAACTACAGCATGCATGAACATTGAACATTGAACAAGTGAATTAATTGCCATAAGTTTGGGCTAAAGTAATTAATATTAAAAAGGTGTAAGGCGAAAATCTACAATTTTAATGGAAAAATTGTAATATTATCTTGAATCACCCTCCCCTTCACTTTGAAAGCTGTGACAATTTATAAAAGTGATGTCATTACGAATGATTTGAATTGTGATTTTTAAAATATACATACATTTTTTTTAACGCGACAAAAAGGGACTTTTCAAACAATTTACTTTCGATACTGCATACATTTTAATTCTGTCTGAGAGAAAATCAAATATATCATATTTTGCTGTTTTATCTCAAAGATTTCCTTTTTAGAAGTTAGATCTCCATGAAACCCCTCAATTCGATCGACAGAGGCAGAATCCTGTAGAAAAAAACAAAAGTGAAGTTCTTAAATATCTTAAATTTTAGATAAAGTTACATTGAATTTAAAAACTTCTATTAACCAAAAGCTGATTTTTTTCGAATAAAAAATTAAGAAAAAAAGTAAAAAAAAAAAATAAAACTTTAGTATTTTCCTTGGATTGACAAATTCCCATAATATTCCATCTTCTCTAACCAACACCCTCCATTTACTTTGTGATCTGAAATTTTTTTCACTATAATGAGACTATCACATAGATTTCACTAGGAGGGGGATCATTCGCGTACGATCCCTTACATAGCCTGTAATTGTACTGTACAGTGCACAGCTTGCTCTGACTGGTTAATAAATCTGACTGGTACTTGATATTCAAGTACCCTTCATTTAATAAGGGGAATTTCTGACATTTAATAAGGGGAATTTCTGACATTTAATAAGGCGAATTTCTGACATTTAATAAGGGGAATTTCTGATTCACAAAGTATACTTTCAGTTGATAAAATGGTAAAGATATCCCTGTTTTTCTATTTAAAAATTGATAATTTCCAATCGAACTTGAAGGAGAAATAAGTTAAGTTGAATCTTTTCAAGAAAAAAAATTAAAGCGGCTACATCTTCCTCATAGTGAAAAACTAATAATAATAATAATAAGCTGAAATGTTCTAAGGTTGAAATTAAAACGTTTGTCCCATAAATTTTAATTTTAACATTGTTGGAACTCCTCCCATGCAGTGGAATATTTAAAATGTAAAATTACTAGAAGAAAGAGTGACGCGAAGCGCCCTAAAAGCCTAGTAACGGTGTAAAACTAAAACGATTATCAATGTTTAATATGGAAGTATGAATCAAGCAAATATCAAGGTAAAACTGAGCTTTCCTTTACTGCAAACTCCTCGATAAATTTCATGTATTATTTATTCATTTTTTACTTTTGGATTAAATCCTCTACGTACATCTTGCCGTGCGTACTGTACATCATTGCTTTGTACACCGTAAAGGGCATGGCAATTGGTAATTAGTATCATTCATTAATTTTCAAAAATGTATTATTTTTTATTATTTTTATTCTTTTCTAATTTAATACGTTAGTTTTCAATTAAGATTAAATATCCTTAAAACTTGTTTTGTTAAATAATTATTAAAATAAGTAAACTCCAAGTTGGTTGTCAGGTCTGTAGAGAAAGCTGAATGTTAATTTGTTTTGTTTTTAACCTGGTTTAAGTAAATAGAAAAACTAGAGAGACA